TACTGCCGAAAGCCGCACGTCTTCGGCAGCAGCTATAGCCGCTGCAATGCCCAGCCTCAGTGTTTTCAGCTTCAGATCTGTGTCGTCGAAGGTGAAAATCTGACCACTCATGAGGTGGTTATGATAGTAACTACATTTTAACTGTTATTACACTCTTTCTAACTTACTATCTACGATCTTCACTGAGACCGTGGCGCACGAAGCATGGTCCTAAGCCTAATGGTTGTTTCGGCTAAAGTGAACTGCTGTGGCTGTCGTACATATAACGTAAACTAGGTGCACAGATAATACTTCCAGACGAGTGACGAAATCTACTGTGTTCAGTGAGCAGTTCAGATGCACGCTGTTTTCTACATGGGTTCAACCTGCAGCATAGCGAGTCACTGCGATTGCCATAACACATCTGCAGTTAAGCTAACAAGTTTGGCGGCAAAACATGCCAGATAGATGTGATCCAAGGCAATCCATAAAAAAATAAGCTAACAATCACCTGTTAGGTTGTCGCGAGCACGAAGAGATAAAACTCTTCGTTTGTAATGTATAAAATCAAAATATTTAATACCTAAATTAGCTTTAAAATAAAGGAAAAATACACCCGTTCACATATTGCAGGTGTGGTGTAGCGGGCGGCGTGTCAGACTCGCGATCTGTAGCGTTTTGAGGTAGTGGGTTCGACTCCAGGTCACACGCTTTTCTTTCAATTTTTTTCTTTTTCTCCTGCGCTCATGTTTTAGCCCTAATTACGATGTGCGCATGACCAAATTTTGAAAAACAATTGAAAAGCCTGATTTCGGTCAATAGTGTGTGCCCCAGTGTGCAGCGTTCCTCGTGTAGTGTGCCAGTGTTCCAGTGTCCGGTGCAACACAGCTCCAATAATAAGCTATGGCACTGGAACAGCACCACTGGGCTTTGCAATATGTTAATTACAGGTCGCTAGAGCATTCAAGACGCTGTGTATAGAGTAGAGCAATGACAACGCCCATTTCAGTCATTATTATAAAGAATACAATATATATTTTTACAATGAAAATGTGAAATGAAATAAATGCATTGGCAGAAATAGTGTAAAACAAAGTAATGAAACGGAACATATGCAGCGAAGAGGATAACGTCAGTTTAAATATGAACGCAATAATTCAATATAGAAAGCAGGAGTAATAATTGTCGTTGGAACCTTAATCTCTTTCAAGATTCAAGAAACATAGAAAGGTATAGGCAACCTTTTCGGCACTATACCCAAGGGACAAATTCCCAAAAGAAAATACATGGTAGCTAAAAAGCCAGGATACTGAACAGGTGGTAATTTTGCGCAAGTTAAAATATTCATTACAGAAGACTGGATAGTGTACTGTTGTCCCCTGTGCACAGCAAAAGGAACAATTAGAGGGATGTTAGTAAAAGAGATGTTATTAGAAGTAACTGTAATGCCAATATGAAGTAAGAAACCTGGGCGAAAAAATAACTTGCCCTGGACACCGACCGAACCTGCTACCTTTCAATAATGCGTCCGATGCTCAACCAACTGAGCTACCAAGGCGGCTATCTCCACGTCCACTTTATGGAGTATATATGTGCACTAAACGGGGGAGCGTCAGTTAGCACACCCTGTAGCCATGATGACGAATCTGGAACACTGATTATTTGCCTGTTTGGCGTCACGTAGCACGTGCACTCATTACGAGCCACCAGCTGACTAATAATCTCTCGTATACTACCTAAAGGCACCAAGTCTACCAGAAAACAATTGAATGAGCTAAGTGTGGGTCTTTTTTTGTATACAAGAACTCTGTCACGCCACATCACTCCCAAGAATTTCAGTTGACATGCAGGTGAGCAAGACGACTCCCGAGTTTTAGAACCGAGAATCAAGCTTACATGTGAAAGAAAGTGAAGAAGAGGAACAGCTTTGAGAGATGATGAACGTCTGCTTCTTAAAAACTTGGCAGATAGGAAGAGAGCTGATAAGAAAAGAGCCATGAGAGCAGCTATACAAGTCAGCAGAGGAGACAAGTGTCATTTTACAATCTTTTATTTCACAGTATACGCCATTTGGAGTCATGTGCACAGTAATTTGCAGTCACAGTAAAACAAATGGCCTTACCGAACGCCTAAATCGCACCCTCACGGACATGCTCTCGATGTATGTCTCATCTGACCACCATGACTGGGATCTAGCGCTACCTCAAGTGACGTTCACCTATAATTCATCTCGTCATGATATAGCAGGTTATTCGCCTTTTTATATGCTCTATGGCCGTAATCCGACCTTACCACTGGACACCCTACTACCGACAACTACACCTCCGCCGAGCGAATACGCACGTGATGCTATCGCTCGTGCCGACCACGCACGTCAGATTGCCCGCTCTAGGCTGTTGGCTTCACAAGAAACCCAGAAGGCTCTCTACGACAGCAAGCATGTCGACGTTGACTTCTCATGGCTCTCTAGTTCTTCTCTGGTGTCCAGTTCGTCGTGTTCGATTGTCAGAGAAGATGCTATCTCTGTACAAGGGACCTTGTACGGGTAACGGACGTTACCTATGAGGTCATTCCAGTCTCCGGGACTAACCTGTCTGCAAACACCCCCAGTGACGTAGTCCACGTCAGTAGGCTGAAACCATACCACCTTCTTTCTGAAGAACACGTATAAAGTGCAACGAGTCGGTGCTTTTACAATCGGGGGGTAATGATACGTAGCTATCGCATGAAGGGTGAACCATTTTGTGATCAGAAGACGACGAAGAGGACTCGTTTGCTCGCTCTGTGTGCTGCGCTCCGATTTTATCAGTCTAAATATACTGCCAAATAGTCACGTGCCGTTTCAATTTACGTAACAATATTAATCCCGGCGCCGAGCCAACATAGAACGTTCGCGGCCGAGATTGATTCCTGCCCAAAATCTCACGGAGTGCCAAAGCCTTGACAAACACCACGACACATTTTCCCATCTGCCGACATTATTGAATGTAAAAGCATCCAGGAATGATATTGTGATAGTAGCACAGCATAGTTTCTAAATCGTGTCAGCGCGACGAAAAAAAGAAAGGTCAGTAGGAAGCGGAAGGGGGGGGGGGGGGGTAACCCCTCAACTCCCTCCTTCGCCACTGATAGCGTAATACCTAAATGCGCACAATATACTTGCCGAACGGCTTTTGTGCTGGTTTTTCTACTATTACACAATTGCTTGAATTTTCACGCGAGTGGTGCGACGTTGCTTTTTCCCTCAACTACCGAAGTAATATTGAATACATATTACTATTTTAAAGACATTGACAAGGTTTGCCACGCTAAACGTTTAGCTTCTTCGCAATTTTTTGGCGACAACAAGCTGGTTGATTGGATAGCGGATTACTTACGGTTGTGCTCAAAATTTGTCACGTGTAACCACACTGTGATATCTGACGTACACATCGCACCAGGGGTGCCTCAAGGCTCTATGCGTAGGCCGCTTTTGTTTGTTATTTGTTTAAATGACGCTACAAATCATCAGGGACACTCAAATTAAACTTAGAATGTATTCAGATCGACGACTTGGTCATCTGTAAAAGCATCTCTAATACTCAAAATGAGGATGCGCTAAATAGTTTTTTTCGTCATTTCTTAATGGAGTAAAGCATGGCAAATGTTTATCAACTTTAAGAAGACTAATCACAACTTTTACGAATAAGAAACGGCCTCTTCATTTTACGTATACTTATAAAGGTGCAGTCTAGTGGGCGTTACGGTGTTTAAATATACCGGCGTAACTCTCACAAAAAACGTTAAATGGCATTCGCATGTCGAAATATTCTGCAACAAGCTTTTAGAAAACTTTTCTATTTCCTACGCATGTTAAGCAACTCAGTAAAGGAATGTGAACTTACAGCGTATATGACTTCGGTCAGACTAGAATTTGCGTCGGTTCTTTTCTCTCGTCACATAGACATGATATGGCTTGGTTACAATATGCTTTAAAAAAGGCAGTAAGGTTTATATAATGCCGCTATGACTAGCGTTCATTGCCTAATTAGCATGTGCATGTTTTATTGCTGCAGCCCCTCTCAAACATCGGCGCACCTGCAATCGTGTTATCTTCCTGTATAACATAAGTCACGCCGGTTCGAGTGTTCTAGCACCCATATATTTCATTACATCTTATGCATACTGTTAGATCGATGAGCTTGATTGGCTCTCCGCAAACTCAGTGCAGAGCAATTCGAAAAAAGAATTGCGTAAAGGCATATTTTGTTATTAATATTTTTTCACGGTGCTGAACATCTGTATTTATGCATGCTACGTCTAAAAAAAAAACTGAGACAGCAGTGTTTGTAAATAAATAACATCGATATGTTGCTAGCACGTTAATTGCTTTGCCCTTTCGGAGAAACCAATTTTCCTTACAAAATTCAAAGCACAAACTTCTATCCTATCCAACTCTAGAATCTAATCACCCCCCCCCCTTCCTCCCCCACGCACCACCGCCGATGAACCCCGCGCCGTCGGCGAAAGTGGAAACATCGACGCGCCGCCGCCGGTGATTTCGGCACTGGCGCATAGATCTAGTAGCAGCGCACGAAGCGGAGTTCTTTGCCGAGGGATGACGCCTCGTTCTTTCCTCTTGTTTTGAATGGAATTGGCGTGGGGAGGCATGGAGTTAATTCATTTAGACAGACTGTACGCAAATCTGCATACGCGCGCGTCCCTCGAACTGTCGATTGAATAAACTTAGTGTAGTTACTCGACAAGTATATTATTATTATAAGCGGCCAGTGTCTCAAAGAAGATCACAAGAATCACCATTATCGTTCCCTTATTGCACCCTGATGCATGTCATGATATTTGTCAAAATAAAGCAATATGTGGGACGTCGGGAAACGCATGTCGATGAGAATCATTGCAAGAATGCTCAAACTTCCCGCGACACCACAGCACTGGCACACTTTTTTTTCCGTTTAGATAGTCAAAAGTTTAGAAAAAAATATAAAAACATTTAGGTAGAACGAATAAAAATAAACAGCTAATAAATAGTGTATTAAGTTTTTTTAGACGTTAGTGGCATAAAAAGGCCGCAGTTTGCATTCAGTGCGGAATGAAAAACAGCTGGAGCGCCAAAATGGCCGCCCTCATTAGCGGTCCAGATGCAGGCGCTGTGCGCCTCGCAGTCGTGATCTTTACGCCGTGAGACGGCGGCGTTCGTATCACAGTGGAATTCACAACGCCCCTAATCAACCCAGTCGTCGCGTCGCCCTTGTTGAACTGAGGATCAAGATGAAGTTCACCGAACACTTGGCCGCGCACATCACGCCCGAGTGGCGCAAGCAGTACATCTCGTACGAGGTAAGAGAAACAGTGTATTGTTCCAGCATGCGAGGAGTAGCGTCGAATATCGCATGTGTGCTACTCGTGCGCCTTCCGGTTCGAATCGCGTGTCGGACCTGTGCCGTCTTCGTAGCTGTTGTTGCAGACACGCTCGTCGCTATTAAGCGGTCTCGGGGCGCGTTTTTTCGAATGCTTCGAAGTGTCTGTCTGTCTGTGGAAATCCACGCGAAAATAGAGGCTAACACTGTAAATGCTCGACGCATACTACGCGTATAGTTATAGCACTGACACGCTGGTCCGAGTTCCGTGTGCGGAACTCTGACCAGTGTGCCGTTGGTCTCGCCTTCACTTTTGGCGAAGGTGCACGGAGTGTTTTGACCTGAAACCTCTCGCGCGGAGTCGCCGCTCTTCCAAGTGCTTGCCTACTACCTTGCGAATGGAGAGCGTGTGCGCTTTGGCGGCTCCTTGACAGTCTCCTTGGTTAGTTCGAGCGTGACAACTCGATAAGCATAGAAAATTTCGCTTCATTGTTTACAAAGCGGCACATGTAGTGCGACGCACGCAGAGAACCGAGGCAAATTTTGTTAATCGCTCGCGCAGCTTGTTCCTTCGCGTGTCGGTGGGGGGTATGGTGAGGTCGTCACTCGGTGGGCGACTTTGCTCATTGGCCGCGTGATTTGTCTGGCAGCCAGAAATTCCGAGGACCCATTGGAGGGCCCTGTTCCTGATTCATTGCACTGCGCGCGGTCGTCGACTGGCGGCCGAGGCTGCCGACAGTTAATAATAACAAGAAACAATTCCTTCTAGCGCCTCGCTTGTAGAGGTTGTTTCTCGAGCTGTGATTGATTACTGCCGCTTGCGGGGACCCGAGCGCATTGAGGAAGTTTCGCCTCACTGTGTATGCGTTTGCCCGCAAAAGCGTTTGGAAACGTGCGCAACCCTTGGCGCGCTTCGTCGGAGAATCGTTTCCTCGATGTTAACGACACTGCGCGCCGCTGTTGCTATGCTTTGTCGCGGTGATTTGGGGGCGTTACTCTTAGTTACTCTAGCTAAGAGTAGCTAAGATTTGGGGGCGTTACTCCGGGCTACTCTAGCTACACAACTTAGCCAGTTGTGTAGCTAGAGTAGCCCGGAGTGGTCTTTCGCGTACATTCAACAGAGTAGTCAATAACCTCTCAGAGTAGGGATATATTTTATAAAGACAAAAAAAAAAACGGCGTGTTCTCGTGCGATGGTTATATTGATATACCGCAGTTGTTGAAAGTCGTCTCATATTTTAATGTCATTGTAAAAACTCATTCTAATTTCGGCCAGTACCTGAAAGCGTCATTACGCAGTGCCTGAAGTCAACTGATTGCTTTTTTATGCTGGACATGAAAGGATCAAAAGCTATTTGTTGACTCCATTTGTCCCATCACGTTCTATTTTATTCGCATGTTTTCGCACTGTTTGCCTTCACTGTAAATTGCCAACTAATCGCTGTAAGCTACCTTGCCAAGTCGTCAGTGTGATTGCAACAGTTACACTTGCAGCTGGAAAACTTCATGGTAGTAGTTTTGGCCTATGAACCTACCGGCCTGAAAGATGCCAAGCATTTTTGTGCTAAAGGAAATCTGCTTCTGCACATTTAAGTCCAAAGCTCTGCACTAGATCGTTACTTTCAAGATACGGGTGACTTAAGAAACTTTTAAGGCCACAACTTATTATTAGCTGTGGTTGTACATACTTTGAATCCACTGCTTTGTCTTTTCTACTCTGGCTTTGTTTCATTTATTGGTGTATATCTCTGAGCAGTGTTGCAACTCTGGGAAACATTTTGACATTGAAAGCATTTATTTGGTTACTACTATTTGAACATGTGGAATGTTCTTGGTTTACGAAGGGAGCTTACAAAAGGGGCATTTAGTCCAACATTAACAGGGTTTCAGGAAGTACCGCTTGTCTGGAAACGCACTTTAACTGCCCATTTAACTTTTGAAAAACACGCCAAGATTGCAATATTTTTTCAAAGCAGTCATAAACTCAATGTTTTCTATGAAATTCTGCTTCTGAAAAATATTACATCATTGATTTCTGTTTAGAGTTAGTACAAAAATTTAAACAAAGAAAAAGAGTGGCTTTTTCTCAATCATGCCATGGTAATGGTAGAGGTGAGAAGGTACTTAAGGTCATAGTATTTGTTTGATGCAATATACGTAATACACAAACTGCACAGACATTGCTTCATTGTTACAAAAGCTTTTATAAATAAGTCACCCTTTCTGTGGTAGATTTTGAAGTGTATGCTTATGAATTCACACAAAGCCTCGTAGTCATCTGAAGCAATATCCAAGGTCAGAGTCACTGTCCTACATGAATTTCGTTCTGTGTTCTTTCAAGTAGCACCTTTTTTTTAAAGCGACACCAGCAGGGTTCTTTGAAGCGAGATTATGGAATGAAAGTTGCCAGGTTGAAAACTCCCACAAAAAGCACGAAATGCAGTTTTTGATAGACAACGGCTGTCATCTATGGTTGAAAAATGCAAGCAAAGTAATCGACAGGCGTGATAAGTCATTGGTGGTAGAAGGAGCAGGAAATCGGTCGGGCCAGACGAGTGCGACTAGTCATCGGCGGTATCAATGCAAACTTGTGCGATGAGTACAGCTCGTGGCTAATGGTTAGAGGGTTAGGTTTTGTCACCATCTTACACATTTTTGAAAGCGAGAAAAGATCAGAATGCACCTTGAGCTTGTAGTGGGGGTGTGCATATAGCTTAGCGCACTCACTTGTCAGTGTCAAGCGTGATAGTTCTTTTGCTTTGTCTATTATTTGCTCGAGTTTTATGATGTAAAGGTTCACTTCATGGCACAGGTGACAATCTGGCAGCTTGACAATAGTAAAACTTGGGATTAAAAACTTTTCAAGTGTCATGTATGTACATAATAAAAAGGTTTTTTTTTTTTTCAATACTATCCTGTGTCTTGTGACATGTTTGAAATTCTTTTTTATATCGGAGAGTGACCCATGGAGGTATGATGATGATTAACCTGAAGTGCTTTGCAAACCATGTTATAATTATGTGCATGAGTGTAAAGTTGTTTTAAAATTGTACCGACAAAAAAGTTTCCCACCTTTTTTCTGTTACAATAAGTAGCTTAAGACCCACCACACTACCATGATTGAAAACGTTGTTTGCACGAGTGCACGTCTATTATTCGTTTCGAGACATTTTTTGGAGAACCTATAGAAGTTTCGGTTTCAGAGAGTGCCAAGAGTGGCAGGATCCTTTTTTTTTTTTTTTTGTAAATGCAGATGGCCATGTGAGCGCGCAAAGCAGTGATGCAGTCATAGCGTCTTGTGCACGTGCCCGATGGATCGATAACTACGGGAGAGAGTGCATGCATGTTGCTTGATAGCCAGTGCAAACTGTTGACTTATGTGGTGGTTGGTTGCTTCCATTAAAATCAAGGTTATGCTGGTTTTGCGAGGTGCTCTGTTTTGTACAAAGTCGTTTGATTGACACTTTAAAATTGCTTTTTAAATTTGTTCTGGGTGATATAAGCCATTGATATTTGGTAGATTCAGTGTGTGTGTGTGCACAAATTTATCTGACAGGCTATCTCGCGTGAAAAATTTTGTGTCAGTGCTCTTTCAAGGTAGCAGGGCTGTGCCAAAGTGGTTTTGATAATCTAGCCATTTACTTATCTTTGGGTTTTGGGCCAGTGTAACCTATTATTTTCCTTTTGTTTGCACCAATTCTCATCACATGTACTGACTGACCATTACATTCAGCAGTAACAACTAAACACTATTTGAGCTTGCAAGAACAATTAGAGAAAAAAACATTGTATTTTTCTTTGTTTGCTTCTTTGCCATATGAATAGTAAAGCTCATCCATAAGAACTTTCAGTGTATCCAATCTTTCTCTTTAAAATTAAGTTCCCTCTTTAAATGCAGAAATGCTATATGATTATTTAAAGTTCTGCTGAAAGGTAAATTAAGTGATTTATTGGCCAAAAGTGACTGCTCAATTACCTTCGCCTTCATTGTTGAAGATGTGCCTAGCCTCATATTCTTTCCTGGTGTCTTGTGAATGAGCACTTCTTCGTTTCAGCTGACTTTGAGGCTTGTTTTTACGTCGTTAAAAGAGTAAAAGAAAAAATCTGTAATGCTTTTTCTTTTAATATTTACCAATCTAAAGTCTTCTCATTAGTTGATTTTGTAATGTGAGCAGGCACCATAGAGTTTATATTACATGTCATCTTTGTTGTGGGTGCTTAGTGGCTGTAGGAAGAATGTTTACCACTGTAAAGGACAGCACTGTAACAAACGCATCACGAGGACTAGTTTCAGCTCTGGTAGCAGTGTGGACATTTGGACGTGTTGGTGTGACTTCATTGTCCATCCACTTAACAAAGGGGAAATGTTCTTCAACCTTGGTGCCTCTAGAGCCTAGGCTCTAGCAACAGCATGTATTCAAGAATTTTTCACCTCTTCAAGCTTTGATTTTCTAGTGAAGTAATTAATTATTCTGCCATAAATAATAAATTAACCCAAGAACACTGGACAAGCACATGGTAGCCTCCCGGGCAATTTCTGGAAATAGTTCCTCGAATGGATAAAGGCTTACTTTGCTTTGACACGTATTGAACAACCTAAGGCAAAATATATAAGCGCTTTGACACAGGGCAAAGAAAGGAAGTGGTGCTCACAGCACTGAGTGTGAACCCCATATGTGTTGCTTCCTTCCTTCGTTCTTTTATATTTTCATCATAAAACTCCACAAACTCACCTAATCTGCCTGTCTTCTTCAACCTGAAAGAGCAAGTGTCGCTACACATGCAAAATTTTGCATAGTTTGAAGAATGTAGATTACCATTTCAATGGACAAGTTCTGTTCCACATTCCAGGTAGGGTTGTACACACGTTTTCTTGTCCTAAAAAAAAAAAAAAAAAAGAATTTTATAACTTCAGAATTTGTTTATGAAATGTATTTTGATGGCAGTGTACAACATTCCTACTAGTTACGGGAGGGCTAT